GCTCCCGCAGAGGCTGGGCCCGCCCGCCGTGAGGGGCTTGTCTCTGTGTCAGGGTGGCTGGCCTACGGCACCAGCTGTTCGGTCAGACACAGGCCCAGGTGTTGCCGGGAGGCGTGTGCGGATGTATGTGATGAGCATTTACAGTCGGTACATTCTGAGCAAAGCAGGCCATCGCCCGTCTAATCAGTTCAAGGCCTGAAGAGCAAAAACGAAGGTTTTCGGAGAAGGAATCCTGCCTCAAGGCCACAACGGGAATTCCCGCCTCAGTTTCCAGCCGCGTGGCCTGCCTTACAGGCCGGGCCGGGCCGGTCCCCACAGCCAATGCCTTGGACGGCTCTGTGCAGTCGGCCCGGCGTATCCGCGGCTTCCGCACCCACTCAGCCAACCCCAGATCAAAGAGATACTTTTTACGATGTTGCCCGTTGCTGGCGTGTACCATGCAGTAGGTCTACGCGGGTCGCATCTGTACGGAAAGCGTGCAGACCTTTTCTCTTCAGCATTCACATTCCCTGAACAAGTCAGCCTCAGCACTGTCCCCCCAGCACGCACGTTGTCAGGTAGCGTAAGTAATCGAGAGTGGTAGGTCTACGCGGGTCACATCAGTACGGAAAGCGTGCAGACCTTTTCTCTTCAGCATTCCCTGAACCAGTCAGCATCAGCACTGTCCCCACAGCACGCACGTTGTCAGGTAGCGTAAGTAATCGAGAGAGGGTCACAGTTCACGCCGGCGTGCGTGGGCTCCCTGCACACACACCGTTTCATACACGGGCCTGGCGCGTCCGTGGAGTCTGGTATCGGCGGGGGTTGTGGACCCAGTCCCTGTGGTTACCGAGGGACAACTGTGCACAAGTACCTCCTGTAAGTTCAGTTTCTCTGGACAACCTGATACAAGCCTCGTATACCCTCAGATTTCTCCTTCCCGTGGATTATCAGAATCACAGAACAGCGCAGCCAGTGTGGCTCAGTGGTTGAGCGTCGACCTATGAACCAGGAGGTCACGGTTCAATTCCCGGTCGGGGCACATGCCCGAGTTTCGGGCTCGATCCCCAGTTGAGGAACATGCAGGAGGCAGCTGATCAGTGATTCTCTCTCATCATTGATGCTTCTCTCTCTCTCTCCCTTCCTCTCTGACATCAATTAAAATATGTATTTAAAAAAAATCACAGAATAGTGGAGCCAGGAAGGATCCTGGTGAACATAGTACGCCGTCAATTGTCCCTGAGGCCCGGAGAGGGTAAGGGACTTGCCCAAAGCCACTCAGCAAGTGTGTGCAGAGCTGTCTCCTGACTCCAGCCTAGAACCAGAGTGACTCCACGTCTGATGGGAAATGTCAAACATTTTTTTTAACGCAAGAGAAAGAGCATA